AATGGGATTTTAAATTTTGATTCTAAGCAAAAATTAGAAAAACCTATTATAGACACCTGAGAAAGCCAAGACTATTATCTTATTTAGGCCAGGAGAGGTTTGTGTGTTAGGAAGTTGTGTCAGAAAAAATTATAAGCTAAGAAGAAATAATGAGCATATGGCAGTACAGTATGATAGGAATTTTAAAGTGAAATCTGTGGCTTTGGGGTTTATTTATATTTCTTTTCTCCAAGAGTAAAAAAACTGGCTGTAATGGAATATGTTACATTGGGTAAAAACAATCTCCATTGTGCTGTTTAGAAAAATATTTTCCATCTTTTTCAGTTTGTTGAGTTACTGAAAATGAGACAATTAAAGGGAGGGTCAGATGAGGATAAGCATCTAAAAGTTAGTATTTTTTAAAGTATCAGTTAAAGTGTAAGCCTACCTACCTAATAGTATTTGGAGAAGTCCATACAGTCAAAATCACAGTTACAATTTGCCAACCAGCACAGCTAAAGACTCTCAGTTCTGAAAGGGCAGCATTTGCCCCTTCTCTGTTCATGACCTTATTTTAAATTTTATTTAAATCTATAGTATAAGGGTGGGATGACTGATTTACTCAACCTCACCCAACTTAAAGTAAGTGATAAAATGCCCAGTAAATTCTATTACCAAAACATTTCAAATAAACTGAATTTTTCCTCAACCACAAAATAACCTAGGGTTAACTAAAGATAAATATAAATTAAAGGTAAGACAGAGAATCTAGCCTCTGCCTAAATATTAGGAATTTTCCTAACTAGGTGCTCAGAATGATTGTGATTGAACTCATAACATTTCATCTAAAATAAACTTCCTGAAGTTGAAGGGGGAATCACATGGACCTTAGAGGTTATTATATTGCCCCCTAGACTTAGGCTAATTATTGTAACAGGGTGTTGTTAGAACGTGAGAGCTGAAAAAGACTTCAGAGAACGTCTAACTCACCCCCTTATTTTACATGTAAAATTGTTGGGGGCAAGAGATTACATGACTTTTAGTGTGACACAATTTGTGGCAGAACTCGCAATAGAACCCAAGTCTTTGGACTTGTAGTTTATTGTCCTTTTTATTACATGTTGTTCCTTTAACCATCTCACATTATCAGACTAATCATAAATAGTAAGGCCAGATGAAACATTTATTAATCACCTCTGGTACACAAGTCTCTATGCTAGGTGCTTCACATATAAAAACAAAAATGAAACTATCCGTCTTTGAGATGAGCTTACATTCTACTGGAAGAGAAGGGACATAGCTTCTATAGGGATAAGTATATTCCAACTGGAAAGAATCAGGAGATTTAATGGAGGAAGTATGCCTAAGCTAAGCCTTGGAAGAAAATAAGGATACTAAAAAGCAGCTATAAAGAGGAAATACATTCCAGGCTTTGAGGACAGCTTGTGTAAATGCAGTTTGACATTTGATGAAAGGTCAAGTTCAGGAAGTTGTTCCAATTTGGCTGGATAGGATCTGTGAAGGGAAATATTGTAAAATAAGAATGGAAAGATAGATTGGAGCCAGATAGCGGAGGTCTTAAATACCATGCTGGAGAGTTTGTATATAATGCTAATGGCAACAAGGAGCCATAAATATAGTAGACTATAAATTCCATATGGACAGGGACCATATTTTCTCTAAACTTCATATGACCTCAGCTTACGTCAGTGTTCTGTACATAGTAGGTACGTGATAAGTGTTTGTTGAATGAATGAACATAGCCCTTAACCTTAATGAATTCATAATGTAACAGTTATGATTAAGTACATAGTAGGTATAGGATAAGTGTTTGTTGAATGAATGAACATAGCCCCTAACCTTAACGAATTCATAATGTAACAGTTAGGATTAAGTATATCCTGACAAACATAATCAATGAATTAACATTTATTGTGCACCAACTCCGTACCAGACACTTTTGTGCACAAAGATATAAACAAAATAGTCCTTGCCCTCAGTAAGCTTGCATTCTCTTGAACAACATTGTATGTATACATCAATATATGTACACACACACACACACACATACATAAGAAGATTAAAAAATATATACAAAGTAACTAAAGTTGGTGATGGAGAAATCAGGAAAGGCCTTATGTAGAAAGTAGCACTTGAGCTAAACTTTGAAAGAATCTAGGAATTTTCTGAGGTAAGAGTTATGAGGAACTGCATCCTAGGCATGAGGGACGGCCTGTACAATGTCACAGTGATGGGAGTAGGACTGTTGGGGTGGGCATTATGGCTGGAACATGGAATGTTTGAAGGAGAGTAGTGTGTAATAAGACTGGAAATGTAGACTGGAACCAGATTATGAAGATCTTTAAATGCTAAATAGAGAAGATTCTTTTTGATCCTTGGGGCAGTGGGGAGCCCTTGGATGGCATGATCAGCCCTAGGATTTAGAAGATGGATGGCAGAGGAAAGACTGAGGCAAGGAAGCCAGTTAAGAAGTTATAGAAATGGGGGGCAGCTAGGTGACGCAGTGGATAGAGCACCCGCCCTGGATTCAGGAGGACCTGAGTTCAAATCCGGCCTCAGACACATAACACTTACTAGCTGTGTAACCCTGGGCAAGTCACTTAACCCCATTGTCTAGCCAAAAAAGAAGAAGAAGTTATAGAAATGGTCCTAGAAAGAGGTGACGAGAGCCTCAACTGGGGTCATAGCTGTGTGAATAGAGAAAAGGGACAGGTATGAGAGAGATGGTACAGATAATATGTTCTAAAAAGACTTGGAAGCTGGATATGGTGTGAGGGAGAATAGTCAAAGATGACTTTGAAGGTGTTAACCTGGGTGACTTCAAGGACAGTGGCCTCCTCAGCAGAAATAGAGAAGTTTGGAAGAAGGAAGAGTTTTGAGGTATAACAGTGAATTCTGTTATGGACATATTTAGTTTAAAATTTCTCTGGACCAGTCAGTTTGAAATCTCCATTAAAGCATACTAACACAAGACAAAAGTTGAAGCAAGAGAATAGGGCCAGATAAAGAAATACAGGCGTCATCTTCATAGAGATGATGGTCGGACTTATGGGAGCTAATATGAGGTCATCAAGAAATAGTTTAGAGAAAGAAGAGAAGATACAGAAACAAACCATGGTAGTTAAGGGCAGGACATGAATAGTGATCTCATAAAGGAGATTGAAGGGTTGTCCCTTAGCAGTTTCTATCCCTACATGGTGCCTCAAGGTTACCCAGGTTCAGAACTAAGGTTAGTTCTTTATTCTCATTCATGCCCTCATATCCAATCAGGTACCAAGACCTTTCATTTCTGTCTTCTCAGAATCTCTCACGTCTATTCCCCCTTCTCTATTCACACCACAGCCACCTTAATCTAGGCCCTCATCACCTCTTGCCTAGACTACCAGCTTCCTCTTGGTATCTTTACCCTCTCCAGTCCATTCTTTACACAGCTACCAAATTGATACTCCTAGAGTACTTGTCTCATTATGCAACACACACTGCCCCCCCCAACTCCCTACACACATACACTCAGAAAGTTTCATCAGCTCCTCATAGCCATTAGCATGATATGAAAACTCCTCTGTTTGGCATTTAAAAGCCTTTATAGTATGGTTCCAGCCTGTCTTTCCAGGCTGACTATAAATTGGTGCCCCCAAACATTCAGTGATTTAACCAAACCATCCTACTTGTTGTTCCTCTAAATAAGACAGTCTATCTCTCACTCCATGGCTGGAAAGGTCTCTGCCTTCATTTCTATCCCTTAGAATTCCTTTTTCCCTTCAGGGCTCAGTTCAAATACCATATCCTTCAGAAGATGAGGAAAGGAATCCTTCCTGATTCCCCCTACTTGTTAGGCATCCCATTCCAATCACTGTGTATTTATTATAGATACACACTGCATTCACTCATCTGCAAATATATTGTATTTCCCATCACCACCTGAAGATCGTAGGCTCCTTAGGAGCAAAGACTGTCGTCGCGTATGTGTCTTTATTCTCAATCCTAGCCCAGCTGGGTACACTCACAGAAGCATCTACAATGCTTCATTTTTCCTCACTTTATATGCATCTTAACATGCCAAGTATCAATGATTCTGCTTCCACACCATCTTGCATCTGTCTCCTTTCCTCCACTCACATGCAAACTACTCTAGTTTAGACCCTCCTCACTGCTCACCTGGACTATTATGATGTCCTCCTAATTGGTCACGTTGACTCAGTTCTCTTCCCTCCATTCCATTCTCCACATAATTGCCAAAATGATATTGGTAAAGAATAGGTCCAACCACGTGACACCCCTGCCCATAAACTCCAGGGGCTCCCTGTTTTTTCTGAAATCAAAAGCAGATTCTGTTTTAGCATTTAAAGCCTTCCACAACCTGGTTCTAGGCTCATTACACATTGCTCCCCTTCACATGGTCTTTGTTCCAGCCACACTGGCCTTGTTGATATTCCTCACAGGTGACATCCCACCTCCTGTCTGTGTGCTTTTGTCCATGTCATTCCCCCCTCACCTCCCACCCTTGTCCACCTTTTAGCATCCCTAGCTGCCTTCAGAACTCAGCTCCAGTGCTTCCTTCTTAATGACACCGTTAACCGATACTGCCAATGCCTTCCTCCCCCAAATTGCCTTGCTTTTACTTTGTATATACTTACACGTGCACGTAATGTTTCATCTGATAGATGATGTGAACTCCCTGGGGGCAGGGACTGTTTCATTTTTATCTTGGTAACCCATGTCTAGCACAATGCCTGGCACATGATAGAAATCTATTTAATACTTGTTGTTTGAATTCTGAATATTTTTCACTGGTTTATTTATTTTTTTATTTAATAGGTCTTACAAACATTTTCTTTCCTTTCGTCCACTATACTTATTTTTCTCTACCAGGTGTAAAAAGCCTCCTCATTTAAAATGCTATTAATATGCCTTAGATTAATGTGTGGTATGATGACCTGATCTTTTTATTTCCACAGATACAAATGAGGAAGAGGAAAAGAAAAAACAGAAAAGAAAAAACAAAGAGAAACTTAAATTGAAAAAGAAAAGAAAAAGGTACCCTTTAATCTTATAAATAGAACAGAAGAATAAGATTTTCTGGAATTTATTTGAAAGTTTTAAATTGATTTATTTAAATAGATTTACCAATTGTTGGAATAGGGTCTAGGACAATAGTCACACTCTCCTGAATTATTTGTATCATTCGTTAACAAAACCAGGATTGCTAGAGAGAGAGTTCAAGAATCAAAAATGATATAAAACATCTCATTCGTTGGCATTTGATAACCAAAGACTAACACACTTGACAAAATTATGAGTGGTAGCTGCCTTTTAAATTTTCTTAAATTAATCTCTCTCCAGTTATACTCTAGAGTTAACTGAAATTTAAAACGTTATATAGACCTTTAATCAAACAAAACAATGTAATGTCCCAAGTCTTTCTGATCATTTTTTCTCTCATATTTGTGTGCCCACTAAGATGAATGTCAAAATATATGTCTACATCTTCAAAATACCATTGTCTTGGAAGAAGTCATTTATTTTTCTAAAAAACTGTGATATATCCCTCTTGGGCTTAAATGTTCAATCATTTTCAGTCATGTCCAATTCTTCATGACTCTATTTGAAATTTTCTTGGCAGAGATACTGGAAGTTTGCCATTTCCTTCTCCAGCTCATTTTACAGATGAAGGAACTGAAGTCAACAGGGTTAAGTGAATTGTCCAGGGTCAAACAGCTAGTTAATGTCTAAGACCAGATTTGAACTCAGAAAGATGAGTCTTCCTGACTCTAGACCCCGCGCTGCATCCTAGATGTGCTTGTGCTTGAGTAGCATACTGAAAATCCGTCCATGTCTTTCAGGACCTTTGTCACTGTTGATCTCTCTATGAATTTTGACTATTAATTATTTGGGGCATTTAATAGGTTATAACCTGTTACCAATTTCCATTAAATAAATGACATAGAAAACATTATTGAGGATTCATGTTTCACTACTCTTATCTCAACTTCCATCCCTTCCCCCCCCAAAAAAGGAGTTACAGATTTAAAAGTGAAAGGGACCTTAAAAGATCATCCAGTTCACCCTACTCATTTTATATTTGAGGAACTTGAAGTCCAGAGAGCTTATGACTTGCCTGGGATAGAGGTAGCAAATAACAGAGTTGGTGTCCACTTACTCTGAATCTAGCACCCTTTCTAATGCACCACTCCTTAGTGTTTATGTAAAAACAAGACAAGAATTACCTAGGCTGAGATGTTGGAAAGGTTTTCTAAAAGCTTGAGTGTTTACCCACATCAGTGAAATAGTGTCAGTTAGTAAGTGTCTATTAAGCATCCACCATGTGTCAGGCACTGTGCTAAGAAAGACAATAGACAGTTCTTGTTCTCAAGGAGCTCACAGTCTAATGAGGGAGACAGTATGCAAACAACTATGTACAAACAAGCAGGATAAGTTGAAAATAACCAACATCAGGAAGGCACTCGCACTAAAGGGAATTGGAAAAGACTTCCTATAGAAGATAGGATTTTAGCTGGGACTTGAAGGAAGACAAAGAGGGCAAGGCAGAGGAGAGAGTATTCCAAACATGAGGGCTACCTTGAATATGCCTAGATCCTGAAGATGGGAGTGCATTGTGTAAGGAACATCAAGGAGACCAGTGTCACTGAATGGCAAAGAACAGGGTTGGGGGGGGGAGAGGAACCATATAGGGTAAAGAAGACTGGAAAGTTAGGAAGGGGTCAAGTTGTGAAGGGTTTTGAATGCCAAGCAAGATTTTATATGTAATACTAGAGGTGACTGGGAGTTTGTTGAAAGAGGAGGTGGGGCGGCAGGGAGGTGACATAGTTAGATCTGTGCTTTAGGAAGATTAATTTGACAGCTAAGTAGAGGATATACTGACATTATAGAGAGATTTGAGGCAAGGAGACCTACCAGTAAGCTATTGGAATAGTCTAGACCTAAGGTTAGGAGGGCCCACACCAAAGCGGTAGTAGTGTTAGAGTAAAGAAGAGGGCATATGTAAGAGATGATACAAAGATGAAATGACAGGACAATCACTGATTGGATATTGGAGGAAGAGGCGGGGAAATAGAAATTAATGAGGACAGCTAGGTTGTAAGCTTTGATTAACTGGGAGAAGGGTAGTATTTCTTTTTTTTTAAGGTGAGGCAGTTGGGGTTAAGTGACTTGCCCAGAATCACACAGCTAGTAAGTGTTATGTGTCTGAGGCCGGATTTGAACTCAGGTCTTCCTGACTCCAGGGCCGGTGCTCTATCCACTGTGCCACCTAGCTACCCCTGAATCGTAGTATTCTCAATGGTAATAGGGAAGTTTGGGAAGGGAGGAGGTTTTGAGTGGGGAAAATAATGAGTTCTGTTTTGGACTTGTTGAGTTTAAGATATCTTCAAAACATCCACTTAGAGATGATAGGCAGTTGGAGATGTGAGTGGAGATCAGATAAGAGTTTGGGTTGGATGAGTAGATCTGAGAATCATCAGCATAGAGATACTCATTGAAACTATGGAAGCTCATGAGATCACCAAGTGAAATCGTATGTGGGAAAAGAGAAGAAGGACAAGGGCAGAGCCCTAGGAAATATCTTCCATTAGCAGGAGTAACCTGGACCAAGATCCAGCAAAGGAACCTGAAAAGGAGCCGTCGGATAGACAGGAGGAGAACCAGGATAGATTAGTATCACAGAAACCTAGAAAGAAGAGAGTATATAGAAAAAAGAAGAGGGTAATCAACAGTGTCAAAGGCTGGAGGGAAATTAAGGAGAATGAGGATTGAGAAAAGGCCATCATGCCTCAGCGTAGAGTATTAATCACTGTGATTAATTTTATTTAATGTTGTTGGCCTCTAAAAAAGGAACCTTTCTTCCTTAATTGCTTAACATAGACTCGTTCATAGTAGAGTAAAAGTAATTTTGTGTATATTTTAAAACAGTTTTTATCATGTGTTTCACCCATTTAATCCATTATTTCGGCTCTAGATTCTAACATACAGAGAGCATCATGAATTTTAAGAATTATATTTATAATGTTTGTGTTTTTCTAAGTCCACAAATCTTGACACTGCAAATTTTTTATAAAAATTTTCATCACAAAGCTAATGTAAAATGATAACTCAGAATTCTGAACTAGTGTATGTTAAGATTTTGGGTAAATCACTTAATCACCCTCTGAGGTCCTTTCCAGCTCTAGATCTATGAGTCTGCTTCTGTGCTAACATAAAGAAATATATTTGCAAAATATCTAACAATGAAGTTTTATATTCCATGATAGGGAAGGAGCCAATGGAAGAGAGATCACAAAGAATGAATAGTATTTAGTGCCTAGTTAGCTTTTGAGAATAATGAAGAACAGTAATCAAAAGTGATAAAAAAAATAAAAAATAGAAAAGTAATAAAAAATTAGTATATGATAGAGGACAAGGGACAGAATCTGGGAGCAGTCACTGTTCAGAGGCAGGGAAAGAAATGGAAGCTGGAGAAGGAGAAAAAGGAGTCAAAGGTAACAGAAGAACTAGGATAATAGACTGTGACAGGAGTAGATCATTTCAAGGAGAAGGTGGCCATTAGGATCAAAAGCTGCAGAAATTTAGCGGAAAGAGAAGAAAGAATATTATTGGTTATTTTAGGAGGGGCAGAACCAAATGGATTCTATAGAGAGATTTGTGGAGAGAAGAGTAGAAAGGTGATGGTAAAAATAATAGTAATGATAGGAAGCAGAGGTGGACCGCTCTAGAAATTTGTCAGTAAAAGGAAGAAAGGGAATAGAATGGTAGCTAGAAAAGACACAAGGGTCAAATGAGGCCTTTTCAAAGTAGTAGAGACCTAAAAATGTTTGATGACAGAGGGGAAAGGAACCAGTAGGGCACAATTGAAGATGTTATAGAGAAAAGGGAGAAATGAGGGAACAAGGTCCCAGAGGAGAGATGTAAAGGGATGAGATTGTGATCACCTGTGGTCCAAAATTGACCTTTTATCGTCCTTTACTTTTTCTTCCCATACTGCTATTGCAGTAGAAGAAACAGTATAAAGTGAGAATGCCAAAGTTCATCTACAACAGAGGTGTTAAAGTTCTGCAAAACTCCCCAGTGCAGTAGGAAACAGATTGAAATGTAATTGGGAACTATTTAACAAAATAAATAAAAATACAACATAGATTGTGTTAATTTGTGGTTTCTAAGTCAAAATGCAGCCAGTAGGGATCCTATTGTATTTGAGTTTGATACCACTGATCTGGAATGCAAAGATCCAGTGTAATTATCTCAAGGTAAAGGTGATAAGGGGAAGACCCATCATTCCCCTATACACACAGGCACACACACACACACACACACACACACACACACACACACACACACACACCTTTCTAAAAAAAAATATTATTAATAAGGTTGTTTAGATGTAGGAGAAATTCTAGGATATCAAGCGTTGTGCAAATAAAATATCTAGGTAGGGATATCTGTTAAAAACACAAAAGTACATTTTTCCATATAGAAAAAAATGCTGTCATTCTCGTGTAGGTTCCAGTTTCTAGGCACCTCTCAAACCTGAAACCTAAAGGTTTGTCCATCTCTGTTCACCCTAAACAGTTAAAACAGAGACAGGGCCTAGAACTTGTTCGTTAGAGAACAGTATTTTCTTTATGTATCTAGGTTTTATCTTATGTATTTTAAGAGTGGTTTTGGGGTTTGACATTGATTTTTTGTTGAGTTATTTGCCTATTTCAAGTTTTCCATTTTTGTTTCATGTTTCACTATAGTTCATTAACTTATTGAGATGTGTGTGTGAGGCTGGGGAGAGAGAGAACTTTTTGCAATCTTGTCCCATGTCATTTGAGAGCCAGGAAAAGGTAACATGTTGCATAGCTTTATATTCAGTTTTGAAGCCTTGGTTTTTATGTAAGGGTGTGAAGTTTAGGGAACCTGCTCTAATTCATTATTTTCTACTAATTTGAAAATAATATTGAACAGAAAAAATAAAGCAAGGGGTTGCAAGGTCTTGCTTCATAAATACAGTTCTCTTTACATAAATGAGCTGTTCTGCAGACCTCTACTTAAAGTGATTTTTACATAGTGTTAATTTGCCCACAGAGGTGGGGAAGTGAGGAAGGGGGAGGCAGGAAAGAGTCGCATGTCCATAGAGGGAGGGGTCCAGCACACAGTTCAAGGATATGTGGGGGCCAGGGACAGAGAAACAAGAGTGGGAGGAGAAACACATATGACCAGCCAGCCACATGGTCACCTGGCTGGAACTGAGAGGAAGAAGACACAGGGGGCAGACATGTGGACCCAGCCACGGACACAGACAGGAGAGGATGGGTGACACAGAGTGGTACATGGAAGCTGAGGACAGACTGGTGGTACTTGAGCATGAATGGAAGACAGATATGTAGGGGCTGGATACTCAGGCAGGTGTGCAGAACAAGGCAAAGGTCTCCCCTTTCAGCACTAGAGGTCTCAAACCAACATGGCAGTGGCAGTGGTGGTCTGTCCACTCATCTGTTATTCTGCTTTCACTTGGAGGGATTTGATTTCTTTCAAAATTCTTTATGTAAAGTTGAATTTGCAACTGTCTGTATAGAGTATTTAAGTAGGTAATGAAAACTGTATTGAAATGTGTCTGCTATTCTGTATCACCTCTTAGCCAAAGAGATCCATACTTTTATTTAACTTAAGGGACATTTAAAAAAATGTATCATTTATTTTCATCCTTGAGCCACCCTTATTCATGTAAAATTATAACTGTTCATGTAATTCAATTAGTGAGCCACCCTCATCCAAAAAGACCTGGGTTCAAATTTTGTCTGCCTCTCACACATACTGGCTGTGTGATCCTGGGCAAGTCCCTTAACATCTCAATGCTCTAGATAACTCTCTGAGATTATAATTTCCAGAGAAGGTGCTGAACAGCCTCAATAAGAGAAAGTTTCCTCACTTAGGAGTTCTGTAAACCAGAGGCATCAGATAATGCTCCTAAGTGCTGTAGCTCAGATGAGATTAAAATGTAATTGGGAAATATTTAACATAATAAATAAAAAACACAATCAAACATAGGCAACATTAATGTGTAGTTTTCTAAGTCAATATGCATCCACAGGAGCCTTAATTACGGTTTCAGGCCCCCGTTTTCTATTTGAGTTTGACACCACTGTCTTAGACCAGTGGAATCAAATCCAGTCTCATGCCTGTAACTATCTCCCTGTCTCTTAGGGAAATATACTAATTTTGTAGTGAGTTTATTTTTGTGCAAATGAATTAGATAAATATATAATGACAAATGATAATTGCTACTTAAATTAAGCTTTTTTTAAGTTTTTATATCATAAGGTTAGTTATAAGAATGAAAAATGAAAATTACAATTAGATGATTTTACCTCACTAGGTTTAAAATATGTTGATAAATTGGAGCTGAGAAGTTTATATTTTGCTGCTTTCTCTAAAATGAATATAAATTCTTGTTCAGGTTTCTCTGTCAGCCATTGATTTGATAACCAATGCTTATCATATCCATAGGTCTGATTCATCTAGTTCTACTGAAGAAGATACTTCAAAACAAAAGAAACAGAAATCCCAGAAGAAGGAAAAGAAAAGGGAGAAAAAAAGCAAAACAAAAAAAGGAAAACATCACAAAAAGGAGAAAAAGAAGCGAAAAAAGGAAAAACATTCTTCATCTTCTGATAGTTCAGACTCTTCTAGTAGTAACTGAGACATCCACTCGTTCTGCTGACATTTTATATTTAAGAGATTTGCTTCAGTAATTATGCTTTGTATTAAACTCACACCTTCCAAGCAAGCATTCCTCCATGTACAAGGCCAACACCGCTCTTGACCTACCTGGGTTGTGACTATGAAGTACTAAGGATTATTATAAAGTTTAGGAGTCAGTCTTGTTAGGGACATATCTTATTCATTCTCCTTAATATGTTTTTCTTTGCTATTAGCATTGCTTTAGAAATTTATTGTAAAGTGTCATCACGAAAGACAAAGAAAGAACTATCTGTACAAGTAGCCTACCTGATTGTCGATGCTATTACCAAATGTCTGTCCACCTTCCCAGGGAGCAAATCTAGGAAGTGAAACATTTCTTTGGGAAGCAGATCCTTCCAGACATTCAGCATCTTCCCAAAAAAACCACAGCAAAATCAAGTAGCCTTATATTCTATTATGTAAGTAATAATATATTGTTTTTATAGGACCAGGCTTTTTGAATGTTAGACAGGAATAACATTGCCTTATGGGTCTTTTTTCTTTAGAGAAATGGAATGTACAGAAAAGTACTAAATGCAGGAGCCTTGTTCCAAGTTTTACTCTTATATGAAAAAAAGTTCTTAGTAACTGCCTAGTGTGGGTTTTTCCCCCTAGTAGTTGTAGTATTTTTTTTTCTCTTTAAAGACCAGTCTATTTTGAGCATTTATTCCTAGCATTGCTGCTCTACTTAAGACTTAAAGATAATATTCTGTTGATCAGTATTTTTAGCAGTGACAGCTGTATGGTTTTGTAGATGTGCCACATTGGCATATTTAAAAGTGATACCTCAGATATCAACATCTGTATTCTGGGGGAAGATGGAACCTTCATTAGGGTTTTTTTTTTTCAATCAGATAAAATATCAAAATTTTATGATGCTTGTTACTATTAGAGTAGTACAGAAATTTTTATAAATTTGAAATTATATACTGTATTTTGTCAAATAATTTTTAAATGCTTTTGAAACATTTGACATTAATTCTCATGCTTTCTTAAGTGGCCAGTTGGGGCAGAAGAAGGAATTTGATTTTTACTTTGTCATAATCTTTAGCAGATGCATAAAATAGTTTTAATTAAGTTATCGATGAAGAAAGACTGAAGATCTTGACCCTGCCATCTGTTTGGAAAATTAAAAGCTACAGAGTATTATTAGAAATAATTTGTCTTCATTGGCTATGACCTTACATTTTTCAAATAAAAATTATATGTTTGAGCATTCCCAGTTATAAACTAGCAGACTTAGATAACCTGTCCTATATTTTTTTTCTTTAATAATGGCCAACATTCTTTGTGGTTATGATCAATAAATTAAAGATTTATCAGATTGTATCAGCATTTGTAATGCCAACTTATTGACCTGTTGCCAGCTAGCCTTATATCCTGAGCACATGACCAACGGTTCCTAGAGCTGCCTCAGATGAGAGTTCTGACTTCAGATAAGTTCAGTCAACAGTACTGAAGATAAAAGGATCTGTGTTTGAGAGGGTATCTTACTGTGCCCTTTTCATTCATATTGCCTGAATGGAAATGACTTTTTACCTTTTCTAGCCTTTTTTTTTTATATTTGAAGGTATTTTTACCTTATATCCATGCCCTGAATTTCCATGATGCCACACCCTCATATGTGTTTCTTCCAGTTGGGTGGCCGTGGAGACTTAAGCACCTTCAGCTTCTCCTCGATTACCTTGACAATGACAATTCAGCAGTTGTCAGTCCAAGTCAATTTTTTGTTCAACCTTCATTCCTACAAATTAGTCATTCCCAGCTTCACTGAGAAAGAGATTCAGTTTTTTAAATAGTTTAGACAGTGCCTGGAAAAGACTAGCCAAGATGACAAAGTAAATTGGAAGTATTATAGCACAATTTCCCTCCACAAATACTCCACAGAGACCTAGAAAATGCATGCTAAAGCCTGATTGGGAAATAAAAAGGAGCAATAGAGTGAGTCATTTTTTCTAGTCCAGGTTCATGTTGAGGAGCAGAGGACTATCGCATTGGGATGGGGTCTAGCTGCATGGAGGAGTGTAGGGAATGAAATGGGGTTTAGGACTGTTTACAAGGGCAAGAAGAGGTCCTGGATCCAGCTATGCGGGGAGCAGGAAAAGATCCCGACTGGTAGGTCTAGGTAGACTCTAGAGCTAGGTCTCAGATGCAATGCAGTCTGAAGAGACCTATACCTAGGGGGATAGCTAACCAGGGCAAAGAGTAGTCCTAGGCACGAAGCTGTGTTCTGGGTGTGGTGCAGGAACATAAGTGAGTAGCAGCTATGGGGCTCTGACCCCAGGAGTGGAGCAAGATCTCAGACCCAGTCCCCACCTCAGGTTGAAGGCTATAGCAGGATAAATAGTGTAGGAAGCTCAGATTAAGGGAGTGTCTGCAGTTTTGTTGCTCTGAACTTAGTGTCTTTCAGCTACCTGATGGTGATTGTGTTTAGTAGCAGTCTGCTGGAGCTCCAACTAAGAGCAAGCCCACCGTTGTGTTACTCAGACCCAAACCAGGGGCAAGCGCTTGTAAAGCTCAGTCAGGAGGGCAGCAGTCAGATCTCGCTGTCATTTTGGGAGCACTGAAAACTGACAGGTTCCCAGCCTGAGATGCCTATGGGGTCCTTGAAAAATGCAACATTCATTACCTGGTGAAAGCAGCAATGAGACCCAAGAGAATACAAAACAACCAAGCACCAGACATTCTCTCCAAAAGGGTACAGAGCCTGACCCTAATGCAAGTCCATTTGGGGAAATAAGACTGGAACAATGGACAAACAAAAAGAATCCTATCATTAAAAAGCTATTTGAGTGACCAGAATGCCCCAAACAAAAAGAGAATGACTCTAAAACAAGTAGAAGCAAAGCCTCAAAGAAAAACAGTTTGTGCACAAGATCAATTAGAATTCCCAAAAGAAATACTGTAACAACTGAAAAAAAAAGTTTAAAATGGTTTTATGAATGAAGTGAAAGTGCTAGATGAAAGAATTGGGAAAGAAATAAGACCTTTAAATGAATGATTTGGAAAGAGAATTAACAGTTTAACACAAACATTGCAAAAATCTTACCTAAGCAAAAGAGTCTTAAAATTAGAATGCACCATCATATGTAATGGGGACAAGCTAGAAGCATTTCCAATATGATCAGGGGTTAAACACGGATGTCCATTATCACCACTGTTGTTCAGTATCATACTGGAAACATTAGCTTTATCAATAAGAGAAGAAAAAGAAAGTGAAGGTATTAGAATAGGCAAAGAAGAAACAAAGATATCACTCTTTGCAGATGGCATGATGATATACTTAGAGAATCCTAGAGAATCAAGTAAAAAAACTACTTGAAATAATAAACAACTTTAGCAAAGTTGCAAGCTGTAAAATAAACCCACATGAATCATCAGCATTCCTTATATTACCAACAAAGCCCAACAGCAAGAGATAGAAAGAGAAATTCCATTTAAACTTACTGTAGATGTTGTAAAATATTTAGGAGTCTACCTCCTGAAACAAACCCAGGAACTATATGAACACAATTACAACACACTTTTCACACAAATAAAGTCAGATCTAAATAATTGGAAAAATGTCAGTTGCTCATGGGTAGACTGAGCTAATATAATAAAAATGACAATTCGACCTAAGCAAATTTACTTATTCAGTGCCATGCCAATCAAACTACCAAAAAATTGTTTTATAGAGTTAGAAAAAATAATAACAAGATTCATTTGGAAGAACAAAAGGTCCAGAATATCAAGGGAACTAATGAAAAGAAATGCAGGGGAAGGTGGCCTAGCCATTCCAGATCTTAAATTGTATTATAAAGCAACAATCATCAAAACTGCTTGGTACTGGTTAAGAAATAGAGTGGTGAATGGAATAGGTTAAGTATGCAAGACACAGTAGTCAATGACTATAGTAATCTATTATTTGATAAACCCGAAGACCCCAGCTTCTGGGATAAGAACCCATTCTTTGAAAAAAACTGCTGGGAAAACTGGAAAAGAGTATGGCAGAAACTAGGCATTGATCAAAATCTCACACCATATACCAAAATAAAGTCAAAATGGGTTCATGATTTAGATATAAAGGCTGATACTGTAAGCAAACTGGGAGAGCAAAGAATAGTTTACTTATCAAATTTATGGAGAACAGAAGAATTCATGACCAAACAGTAGATAGAGAACATTACGAAAAGCAAAATGGATAACGTTGATACATTAAATTGAAAAGTTTTTGCACAAACAAAGCCAATGCAACTAAGATTAGAAGGAAGGTAGAAAATTGGGAAAGAATTTTTACAACCAGTCTCTCTGATAAGGGCCTCATTTCTAGAATATATAGAGAATTAAGTCAAATTTATAAAAATACAGGTCATTCCCCAATTGATAAATGGTCAAAGGATATGAACAGGCGTTCTCAGATGAAGAAATTAAGGCCATCTATAGTCATATGAAAAAATTCTGTAAATTACTATTGATTAGAGAAATGCAAATCAAAACAACTCTGAGGTATCACATCACACCTATCAGATTGGCCAAGATGACAAAACAAGAAAATGATAAATGTTGGAGAAGATGTGGGAAAATTGGAACACTAATGCATTGCTAGTGGAGTTGTGAAATGATCCAACCATTTTGGAGAGCAATTTGGAACTATGCCCAAAAGGCTATAAAAATATGCATTCTCTTTGATCCAGCAATAGCACTTCTAGGGCTGTATCCCAGAGAGATCATACAAATGGGAAAAGGACACACATGTACAAAAATATTCATAGCAGCTCTTTTTGTGGTGGCAAAGAATTGGAAATTGAGAGGATGCCCATCAATTGAGAAATGGCTGAACAAGTTGTGGTATATGAATATAATGGAATACTGTTGTACTATAAGAAATGATGAACAGGCTGACTTCAGAAAAACCTGGAAAGACTTGTGTGGTCTGATGCTGAGTGAAATAAGCAGAATCAAGAGAACATTGTACACAATAACAGCCATATTGTGTGATGACTAATATTGATAAACTTAACCCTTCCTGGCAATACAAGGATCTAAGACATCTCCAAAGGCCTCATGATGGAAAATGCTATCCATATCCAAAGAAAGAACTATGGAGTTTGAATGCAGATCGAAGCATACTATTTGCTACTTTTTTTTCTTCTGTTAAATTTTGTTTCCTCCTCCTGGTGGTTCCTCCTATTGGTTCTAATTCTTACTTACAACATCACTAATGTGAAAATATGTTTAATAAGAATGTGTATGTGTAGCCTATATCAGATTGTGCTCCGACTTGAGGAGGGTGGTGGGGAGGAAGGGGAGAAAAATTTTTAACTCAAAAGCATATGGAATTGATTGTTGATAAATCAAAATAAGTTAGTTAAAAATAAAAAAATTAGAATGCATCAAATACATGAGGCAACAAATATTAAAACAAAGTCAAAACCCTGAAAAAAATAGAAAAAAAAGTAAGATACCTCATATCAAAAACAATGACCTGAAAAACATCAAGGAAAGATAATTTAAGAAGCATTTGGATTGCCTCAAACCCATGAACATATTAAAGCATGAGAGAAAAATGCTCAGATCTTTTAGAAGCAGAGGGCAAAGTGAAAAAAGAAAGAATCCAAGAATCACCTCCTAAAAGAAACCCTAAAATGATTGACACAACACCAGAAAGAAAGAATTCAAGGCACCACATTTAGGTTGGCACACAACTTAGTGGCCATCATTATATAAAGGAATAGAGAATTTGGGATATGGTATTCAAAAGACAAAATATATAGGCTGTGTTTACAAGTAAGAATAACTTACCCAGAAAAACTAACTATTAGCCTAACAAGGGAATGGGGAGGGGCAAGAAGAGACTTTTAATGAAATAGAAGATTCCCAGCCATTCTCAATGAAAATGCCAGAAGTTAATGGAAACTTTGAAATACAAACATGGGAGTTGAGAAACAAAATACATCGAAATGAGCAATCATAAGAGATTTAACAAGGATGAAATGTTTACGTTCTGATAAGGGGAGATGGCATAAATGACCCTCGAAATCTTGTTACCAGGGTTCATAGAGGGAGTTAAATAAGACAAAGAGTCTGGGAGTACTTTTGTTGTTTTTGATGGTTATAAAAGAAGGAAGGGAGAGGGAAAGGAATACACTAGGGGAGAAGAAAAGATCAGGAGAAGTTATTTCACATAATCAGTGTCTGCAAGTAGGAAAATATAAAGTTTGTTCAAGGAAGAAAGGGTGGAAGGAGTGGAGGGAAGAATATGCACACAGTTGGGTGCAAAATACAGTTCACTAGCAGAAGAGAAGGAATAAGAGGGTAGATTCAGGGAAGTATTATTCATAGGCAAA